CCCCCCCCCTTCTTCCCCGCGGCGGTGGCGGTGGGTGATGGCGGGGAGGGGGTCGGGCCGGCCCGGGGAGCCGCCGTGCGGCGTTTGGGTGCCGGTTCCGCCCCGTTAACGGCGTCTCTCTCCCCTTTGCGCCTCAGGGGTGGAGTGGGGGCTGCTTTTCCCGGATGCCAACGGGGACTACCAGTCGCCCATTAACTTGAACTCGAGGGAAGCCAAATACGACCCCTCGCTGCTGGAAGTGCGCCTGTCGCCCAACTACGTGGTGTGTCGGGACTGCGAGGTGATCAACGACGGGCACTCCATCCAGATCGCCCTCAAGTCCAAGTCAGGTACGCCCCAAACGCGGCCTTCGCTCACCTCTTGGGCTGGTGTTTGCCTCCATGGCCGGCCGTGCCCGCATCCCCGAGCATCCGAAGGGTGGCTGTGCCCCGTCAGCCAGGGGTTGTCCTCCCTCGGCGTGGACTGTGGCCGGTGAGAGCTTTGCTGTTGGCTCCAGCAGGGAAAGGAGGCAGCTTTGCAAGGAGAGCAGAAGGTTGCGATGGATGGTCAGTCAGAGCATCTCCAGGGATGCCTCCTGTGGTTGGTGTCACCTAATCCTCTGGCTTTATCAGCCGTCCCCATTCAGAAGCAGTCCAGACTATGGTTAAGAACGGTGTGATGCCAAACTGCTTTTGTACAGCTGGCAAAATTTGCGCCCACAGTCCAAAGACTCTGCAAGCTAAAAGATCTTTTTTTCCATTAGTTTGAGTGGGCTGTGAATGCTGACTACAGACTCGGGTAGCTTAACAGAGGCACTCCGGTTACACATGCGAACAATATTGATGAAGAGCAGGTAGCAAAGCAGCCCTCATTTTCTTAAAGGGTTTTTCGTGTCATTCATCCAATAAGAGTGAGAAGCAAATAATGAAAGAGACAATTCCAACTTTGAAATCACAGTATCTCACTCAGACCTTTCATCTGGGTAAACTATTCTGTAGGGAGGAGACAACTGTCAAGAAAATAGGAGGAAAAAAAAAAGTTGCTTGTGCTTTCCATCAACTGTGGTAGTTCTTACCATGTGTTTGGAAAAGCATCCAAGTTATTCTAACCAGCCTTAGCTAGTTACAGTCTTTTGGGGGTATTTAAACGGCTGGACATTTTCAAAACATGAGACAGTCCAACTTTTGTTTCCTTCTGAGATCCCAGTAGTCCTGAGCTACAGCTGTGCTGGGAGTGAGGGAGTCAGTTCAGTTTTACACTGAGTTTTTTAAAAAAGAAACATTTGTTATTTTAATAATTATGCTTTCCTTTATAATTTCCTTTCCATGACAAATCCCATGTATTATTGCGACACAGGACATTTCTTTCCACAGAATTTTGCAGATTTCCAATAGAATATAAATTTTGTGCTCCTGGTCAGTTTTACTGCCTTCATCAGGAGCAGAGCTCTTTTCCCAAGCAGCGAGGTTCTGTCTGCAGGACCAGGAAGGTTCTTGAATCCTCCTGTGGAGGATGTGAGAGTGACCGCAAATGATGTCATCGATTGCATGCCAAAATGCAGCTCCTTCAACCCTACCTTTCCCGAGGCCAGTTTGGAACTTTGTAGCAATAATTAATAAGATAGGACCAACACACTAAAATATATGTTCAAAACCATTGGAGACTTAGGAGAAGGAGAGACTTCTTTCTAAACCTGAATGCAGTCTGATGCCAGACTGGCGAGTCTTGAAATATGACACAATGTGAAGTAGAATAAGAATTTATGACTGAAGTATGGAATTATGATTTAGGAAATCTTGTTTTAGTCTCAGCTTTTCCTTAAATTTCATGTTACATAATTTCCTATTCTCTGTTTGTAAACTGGGGGTGATTTTCCCATTTTTGGGTGGGGGAAGACAACATTTGCTATCCCTACCAGGAGAAGAAAAGAGTTAATAAGCTGTGTTTGACCTAGTATTCTGGCCAATTTTCAGGGATTGCGGAAACTCCTGCAGCTTCTTTTCCTCACGGGGGATCTCTGATGACAAATCCATTTAGCCAGATTATTTTAATGGGAACTGTTGAACACTAAATGCTTTTGAAACTCTGTCCAATTAATGTGGAAGAGATCCTCATCTACTGTAACGTTAACAGTCAAAGAAAAACTTACTTGTGGAAAAAAGTAAACTGATTAAGATACATATTAAACATAAATTTGTCGTTACTAGCGATTGGTTTTATCCTTTAATTCGAGACACGCAGTCCATCTGGAATTCCCAAATCCTACTTATTATTTAATTGCAAACATTTTTGCAGGCTGCTCCCAGTTTGATCATGGTTGCATGTGTTATGCGTTAGGGGGGAGAAGCATGACCAGCTGTGTGATGGAATTGTGTATTGAGAAACACTTTAGAGGATATCCTGCCGACAGAGGGACTTCTCTGAAGCCAGAGGTGGATTGCACAGTGGATGATGGTTTCAGAATCCTTTTCTAAAGAGGATCAAAAATTGCCGAAAGGCAAAGCGAAGTTGCACGTTTCCCTCATTGACAAAGATCAAGATTTGATGAAAGGCAGAAGAAAGATAAACGTGCTTCATGCACTGAAGTGTTTTTATCACGGGATCAGTGTTATAACTTAAGCTTCAGAAATAAACTCTTTGAAGCTGCTGTAGATCCCGAACTCCATCGTACAGAGAACATTTATTCTAGTTACTCTTTCTCTAGGAGCAATATTTTAACCAGAGAAAACGCACCATTTTCCTAAGAAATAGCACTAATTAAGTATCATGTTTCTTTATATTTGTCCAGATTTCCTGAAATACTTTAATTGGTTGTTTCCCCTGATATTCAACAGATTTAGAGATTTTCCCTATGGGTTATAGGTACACATAGAATATAGATAAAGCAAGATTAAGAAGCAAATCTGAATCTGTAACTACTTTTAGGACATTTCATTTTAGAAACCCTAATGGCTCTTAGATTAGTAAAAAAGAATTACCAAAGGAGGGTTAATCAGCATATGTTACTTTTTTCTTCAATGTAATTGCTTATAAAAACTATAACTGATCATTTTTCTTTTTGTTTTTTTTTTTATAGTTCTGTACTTCTGTTATTATGTTTTTACAATTGAATATGATTTAATTGCTAAAATATGTTTTAGAGTTACACTGTCTTGTGCTCTAAACTAATGCCATTTAGTTTGTGTGTCAAAATAACTTTATATTATGGAACTTTAGTTCCCTAAAGCTGTAGATTATGCAATGAATTAATCCTTATCAGTTATCAGAGATTGTAAAAGATTCATTCAGAGTCTATGAAACATAAGCTAGAATTTAATGGATTCTGGGGGAGACTGTGATTGCCCTTAAGTAAAATCCAGCCCTGCCTAGAAGCCAATATTCAATGGTTTCAACGGGAAATTACCTACAGTTTATGGAGTAGTATTTGATCTGAAGCAGATTCACAAATCCCTGGGCAAGATGTTTACATCGATCAATTCCAAAATCAATTGGGCCTCACAAGGTACAACTGCTTGCTTTTAATATTTACTGTGGCAAATGCAAAAGTATTGAGCTATTATATAATATTTGTGTGTGTGTGTGTTGCAATTGTGGATAGATGATTTTAAGAAATTCCGGATGTTTTAAAAAAATGAAGTAAAAAAAAAAAAGCCACAGCTGCCTAGAAACTGTTTTTAAGTAAATGAGGTGTGTTGTTGCTCCTGTGTGTAGGTTTGATTATATTTGGATATGGAGGCATTCTGTATCCCGGAAGCCTGACAGGTGGTGTATGGCTGAACACCTTGACCTAGCGAGATATTGGCAATCAAAAGTTTTCTATCAGTTTCTGTGGCTCCTGGCTAATACAGGTGATGGAGAGTAAGCATTTGGGCAAGTTGGAGGTAGTTACCAGCTCAATTCAGCCCCCTCACCCCCTGCCCTGCCATCTGTTTAAAGCACTCAGTTACTGTCTCGATAAGAGCAATAAACATATGAACTCTAGGGGCTGATAAAGGTGCGGTGTTTTTATTTGGTGCTGTGACCAGCTGTTCTGCCTCCTAAAACAAAGAGTGCAGCAGGACAGCAGTTTCACTGCTGTTCCTAACTGCCTGAATCAACCCCCTGCCCTGGGCAGGGACACCTCCCACCAGACCAGGTTGCTCCAAGCCCCATCCAGCCTGGCCTTGAACCCCTCCAGGGATGGGGCAGCCACAGCTTCTCTGGGCAACCTGTTCCAGTGTCTCACCACTCTCACAGCAAAGAATTTCTTCCTACTATCTAATCTAAATCTCCCCTCTTTCAGTTTAAAACCATTACCCCTTGTCCTGTCACTGCACTTCCTGACACAGAGTCCCTCCCCAGCTCTCCTGTAGCTCCCTTCAGATATTGAAAGGCTGCTATAAGGTCTCCCCGGAGCCTTCTCTTCTCCAGGCTGAACAATCCCAGCTCCCTCAGCCTGTCTTCATAGCAGAGGTGCTCCATCCCTCTGATCATCTTCGTGGCCCTCCGCTGCACCTGTTCCAGCTGGTCCATGTCCTTTCTGTGTTGAGGACTCCAAAGTTGGACACAGTATTCCAGGTGGGGTCTCATGAGTGCAGAGTAGAGGGGCAGAATCTAAAGTAAAGATGTCAAGTCTCTCAGCTTCACTCTTCTCCTGTCTAGGACCGCTGATGATGAAGAAGCTTGCAGCAATCTCCCCGTTGTGTTTGGGGGGAATGTATTCAGTGGCTTGTTCTGCTTTGAGAGGACCGCTGATGATAAAGAAGCTTGCAACGATCTCCCCGTTGTGTTTGGGGGAATGTATCCAGTGGCTTGTTCTGCTTTGAAAGCCACGTTCCTTACCATTTGTCTTCTTTCCCCAGTGTTAATAGGGGGGCCGCTGCCTCGAGGACATGAGTTTGAGCTGCACGATGTTCGATTTCACTGGGGGAGAGAAAACCAGCGTGGGTCTGAACACACAGTTAATTTTAAGGCCTTTCCCATGGAGGTAAGAGTGACGCTGCCTTGCATAACGCTCACTAAATGCAAAGGGCTTTATTTCATAGCCTGAATTCCTGGTAGTTCAAAAGAGAGTTTCTTTTAAGCTCAGCGTTTTATGGCTTTATATTTCAACCACAAAGCCATCTTGCTGAGGTGTGCTTTAGTGCAGGTAAATTAGGATATGCATCTGGAACAGAATGCCTCCAGCACTCATCACGTTGTGTGATTAATTGGTCATAAAGTTAACTTGCAGAATTATTAACTGCTGTCTTAATAATATTAGCGTTCTAACAAGGTCTGCCATTTCAACACTTCCCATGTCACCTTGACTAATAGCTATAGATGGGGGGAACTAGCCACTGGAAATATTTCCATGGTGAATAATAACACCTTGGGTAAATTTGGAGTAGGTGTAGAGCAATTTGTTCGTGAAATAGCTTTACATACCTGAAAATTGAAGATTGTGTGATATTCTTGGGTATGTTCTGGAATATCTCAATGAATTACAAAAATTTGAAACACAAACCAAGTGATAACGCAGTCTGAAAAGATTCAGCTCTTCCTGGCGTGTCAGTCGGGGCTTGTAGGCAACCCAAAATGCTGGGACCTATTTCTCCTGCCCTCCAGCAGCCTTTCATCATTATTACTTAACTTCCCACTGTCCTGTTTCTTACACTTGTCAAGGAGTGGCTTGGAGCATCCCTTAGACCCTGGGCTGCAAGACTGGCTTTAACAGATGCCAACCCCGATGTTTGGTGGTTTCAGCTTTGCAACATTGGTTTTAAAGAAACTCAAGATTTTTTTCAGAGCTCTTTGAGTTATTTTTGCCTTATTTATCTATCATAATCCCTCACAAGCCTTTTTCTCTGTGGTGTTCAGTGCTAGGAACTTTGTTATTGTAGCATTATATTAATGAGTGCCAGACTACTGGAACAGAACCACTTTACAGAAAAGGATATAATAAGTATTAAAGCACCTGCTGCAGAACTAAGTGTAAAAAGCTTGTGGACCATCAGTTTAATTCTTGGTGTTGTTCTGGTACTTTCTGTGGGTCAGATCTTGGTCTCTGCTGTTTGTTATTTTGCATTGGTCCATCAAAAAATTCCATATATAAGTGACTGATAGGGGCTTTGCAGGTTGATTTCAGGCAGATCCTGGCAATTCCAGACTGTTACTTAAATGGGGAAGACTCAGCAACCAAAGGGAAAGCAGAAGAATCACCTCTGCATCCTGGTTACCTGGCATAATATATATATATATATATATATATATATAAAATATGTTTTTTATGGGCAGTAGGACCTTCAGGATACTGCAGTGTTTCACTGAGGCAGGAAGTAATTTGTTTGTTATGAAACAGCTCTGCTTTGTGCTTTTCCTCAAGGCTGGTGATCGAGAAATATTGACATGAACTATGTCAAGAACTGTTCTTGGGGTCTGTCAAAGTCTTCTCTCTCCTTGTTTATTAGGACCACTTTGCAAACAGTTTTAGGTGCATGTGGGAACAGTCTATTGATAATCTGCAGAAACCCCAGAATTCTCTGTTCTAAATCAGTTCAGAGAAAAATCTACTTGACCCAGAGATGCAAAACAGCAAACTTAATCTGTCATGCAGGGATTTAATTCTTCACCTACTTTAGAAGCAGCACGGCAGCTGCACAAACAGAATTCTGGCACAGCTGAAGAACATCACCTGAAGGTGAGCGAGCTGGTGTTACCCCATCTCTCGCATCTAGGCAGCTTTCAGCTAGACTCTGATCTCCAAGAAATAACTACTGATGCAGAAATTCTGTAGCAGAAGAGAATTACTTATAATACACTTTGAATGCAGCCTGAATGTTTAATTTTGCAAACAGATCCTTAAGCAGATTAACTCTCCTGGCAGAAAATGACAGCATGGCTTGTCCTATCCAAGTCAGTTGCACACAGGTGTATGGGCTGAGCTGGTTCATCATCTTCTGCCCTGTGTTGCAAGAAAGTGCCGGGCAATTTCTTGCTGCGTTTCCTTCCACTCTGTGCACAAAGAGCTGCCATATTAAATCCATCTCAGATTGTCCAAATCAAATACTATACTTGAGCAATAATAAAACAGGTGCTTGTGATCACCATAAAGGTTTATGAAGTAGTACACCTGAGACTCCAGAATGGAAGATGTTTTGTTTCCATTCCAGGGATTGCCCCACCTAATTTTTATTTGTGGAGAACAATAATTTTGATCAGGGGGCAAGGAGATCTTATTTTCTTAACTTTTAACCTTAGCATTGATTTATACAGTTGTTGGAAATCACAGTAATTCTGAATGCATATTGGGGTTGATTTTCACTGGGTTTGTTAGTTACTGAACACAGTGGTGGGTGCCTATTTTGGCTACATACAAACAGTCTGGTGTAGTTCATGCTTTTGTTTTCTGCTAAATGCAAAATCAACATCTAGAACATCTCTCTTGTGAGGAAAGGATGAGGGACTTGGTTATTTTTAGTCTGGAGAAGAGAAGACTGAGGGAGGGGGGATCTGATCAACGCCTATAAATACTTAAAGGGTGGGTGTCAAGAGGATGGGGCCAGTCTTTTTTCAGTGGTGCCCAGGGACAGGACAAGAGGAAATGGGCACAAACTTGAACATGGGAAGTTCCATCGAAACATGAGGAGGAACTTCTTTCCTTTGAGGGTGGCAGAGCCCTGGAAGAGGCTGCCCAGGGAGGGTGTGGAGTCTCCATCTCATTCAAAACATTCAAACCCTACCTGGACAGGTTCCTGTGCAGCCTGCTCTAGTTTGACCTGCTCTGGCAGGGGGATTGGACTAGATGTTCTCCAGAGGTCCCTTCCAACCTCATATCATTCTGTGATTGTGTGAACAGGCAGTTTGTGCACAAGTGCACAATGCCTAGAAATAGGTTGAGTGCCAAGTGCGTAACTTGGGATCTTCCAGTGAGCAAATCTAGTAGGACGTTTTCCTAAGAAACTAGAAGTTATTTACAAGGCAAATGATAAGGTTTTAAAATTCTCCTCTCTTTGCGGAAGACAAGTCAAGGGATAAGCAGTAGTTTGAAAACATAAGTGCTTGCTTTAAGTGGGTACATTAACAACACAACAAACTAGGCCCAGATTATATACACTATTACACCATTATAAAACCTGGGCAATTCTACAGAAATCAGCTTTGAGTTTGATGGGATCTATCTGAGATGAATATCTATGACAATTTACTGACTGGAGCAGCAGTCTGTTTTTTTAGGACTGAAGACTGTAAGTCTTCATTTTATTACATTGGACCAAATAGTTGTGGAACAGCTTCAGATTATCAGTGTAACGACCTTTGTGAAGTATGACTTTAAAAAAGAATGTTATTTTTCAAAGTCTGGAAGAACACTGTTCAGTTACTTCCCTAGTCTCTTCACCTTTGATACCGTAACTGCTTTTATAGAAATTAGGAAATATCCTGTATTAGTTGGGTAATATCCTGTGTCCCTTAGTGCAAAAATCTGCTATTTCTTAGTAGACAGCTGGGGCCTTTGCACATGGTTAGATTATATAGGTTCATGGTGAAATAGGTTAGACTACTAAGCTTATGTAACCTCTGGAACAGCTTCTTCAAATAATTCACGCTGTCAAAAAACATTGTTCATGTGGCTTGGAGGCTGAGTTCATTGTTATTCCACCTTCCTTGACTGAAGAAACCGGGATGTTGACGGTAACACACCAGCGGTATCATTTTCACTGTGTTTGCAGTCAGTCAGGAAAGCAGGGCAAAACAATAAATAGTTGTCAAAGGTAAATACTGCAACATGTCTTCTTAAACAAGGGAGAAGGAGAGGGCTGTACATATCAGTACAATACTCCTCTCGCTGCTCCGTGAAAGCAAGAGCATGAAGGCCCATCTTGCCTTTTGGCCAGCAATTGGAAGGAGATGTTTGTGCAACCTTCTCCAGAAATCTTTCTCACCAAGTACTCCTTCTGCACATAAACAGCATTATTTTGCCTTTTGGCCACAGTTACTTTGGCCACCGCTTGTGCGAAATATTTAGTAATGGTCTTAACACTGAGAGACTTGTTTCTTGCCAGCAAATGGAACAAGGTGCCAAAAATTAGATTGTGCTTTGCAGTACACGTTTCCAGAGAGCAGTAAAATCCACTTTTATACCCACATGTGAGTTACCTGGACCTGATTTAGGGGTAAGAAAGAGAGGAGCTACTTGACATCTTTATTCCTCTTCCTCAGGCCAAAAGTATGGATTGGAGAAGGAGGAAGAACAAATGAAGATCTAATGAAACTCTGACTCTCTCCCTTACCTTTCATGCATAACAGGAAGATAGAGGGGGACAGAAATAGCAAATAAATGCTACTTATTTTTGTTGTTTGCAAAGTTAAAATAGGGGCAGCTAAAAATGGAGATTCACTGTACCTGATCTCTGTATAAACACATACAGTGCCAGTGCAAATCAGCTTACAGTCAAAAAAGACAGGAAAGGCAGCAGAAGAAAGTAAACCATTTGATGGCATCAGTGCTGTTTTATTAAAAAAGTAAATAATAAAATGTTTTCACTGCTTCTGAAGTGAAGGGAAACAGGGAACATTTTGCCTTAAAGGCACCTTTGACTTACTCGAGTGGTGGTGTGACCAAAAGCACATTCTGACCATAAGGGAACGCTTGTTTCCAGGCTGCTGTTCTGAAATAAAACTGTCGGAGAAAATAAAAAGGTTCCTTTCACCACTTGTAATACGACCAGGAGGATAATTCTTTGTAATCCATCCTCTTTAAAATGTAGGATTATATTAGCTGTGAACCATGTGAAAGCTCTCAGTAGAACAGGATTGGCAGAAAAAAAATTTTAAAAAGTTTCCAAGATGTTCATGAAGATTAAAACCAGTATTATTGTTTGCCTTACAGTTTTTGAGTAGGATAGAAAAAATCCAGTTGCTTGAAGGACCAGAATCAGTTCTGGTCTTCTATCTTCAATAGAAAAAAAGTTGTTCCTTTCTGTTGTGTAATGAAGAGCAGACTAATTC